GTTAATGTGAGCGACTACCATTATGTCCGTAATCAGCATCCGTAATCATCCACATGCATTCAGCGGTGTAATTTTAACAATGTACATTAAGCGCTTTACGTCCTTGCCATGGTACATATTCGACAAGCGCGTCTACCTCGTCCAAACGAATTCTGGCCATGGTTCTCTAGAGGATAAGTATTATCTTAACCTTACCTTTTAAATTTTGAAATGTTACTATATATGTCTGACTAGCAGACATTTCTGCTCGGGCTGTATACATGCGTTATTAGCTGTCGTCAGTACATGTCAGGCACTTGGTTGAGTCAACACTCGGAATGTGGTCTAAGCATTGAGACACTTCGCACGCTGGGCTTTTTACATAAGTAGATAGATAATCGCTGAGTACCTATAGAAATTTTTTTCAATACAAAATATCACATATAATAGCTTAAGCTTTGCTCAATGAAACTAGACTATCTCGAGTCTCGCTTTTGTTGTTCTTTATAACATCTTTAGTAAGTTTTTCATGCACTAAGCGTACTGTCCTCATTATACATTGAAGTGTTACGAACGTGAAATATCAAGTTCAGTATTGCACGAAGTGTTATACGCATTCATCTCTATACATCAGCAATGTCAAATAGAAATGGATGCTCAAACATTTTGGAGACTTGGTCAGTACTCCACACAAGCTGACACAAAAATATGAATGAAAGTGTTAGAGAGCAAATTAACCTGCCAAGCAATATTGCTTCAAGGATCTCAATTGTCATGTTGTGTTCTTTATATGATATATAAAACGTAAACTTTATTGATATAGATCTTCACTGAAGTGAAGTTATATATGCAGCGGCATATTTCTACGAGCTACTTCACTACGAACGAAGCATGCGGTATTCCACTTGCTTTGTCGAGCTATTTGCACCGACAACAGAACCAGCACTAGCTTCGCGACCAATACCTACGCCAACCTCGAGTCCAGAACCAACGGCTGCTTGTAGACCAGACTCAGTCTGCATCCCGAATTTAGTACCGGAATTGACACCTACGCTACTTGTGTCACAAATAACAGCACCCGCACTAGTCTTGACACCAGCCTTAGCGCCAGCATTTGTGCCATCATTGACTCCTATACAACTCGTACCACAGGCACTAGTACTGACATCGATACCAGCACTGGCTTTGGTCCCTACTCTCTCTACACCAAGATTGACACCAGCGTGGGATTCTACACCAGCTTTAGCTTTGTCACTGACTTTAACATCTGCACTGGCATCGAAACCCGCACCAAAACTAGCTCGAATATCAGCATTGACACCGACACCAGCTATTACACCTGTCTTGACACTAGCACATGGGCCATTCGTGACATTCATATCACGCTGTCCATTGAAAGCAGTACTGATCCTTGCACCACCGCTAAGTCCAACACTTGTATTTTTTTCGGTATCACTGATGACTCTGGCTTCGGGATTGATTTTGACACCGCCACTGACTTTGACTCCGCTAGTCAATCCGCATCCCTCGCCGACTCCAACGCAACCATTATTTCCGGTGCAGCGGATGATGCCAACTTCAGTGTTGTTACTGATACTCCCGTTGACTACTACTCTATCAGTAAGTCCGACGCCGCCGCTGACTCCGACACTAGTTTTGATAACGCCACCACTGACATTGACTCCACCATTTAGTCTGACATCGCCACTAATTATAACTCCGCCATTGAGTCCAACACCACCATTGATTGCAATGCTGCCATTGGTTCCGGTGCAGCGGATGACGCCGACTTCAGTGTTGTTACTGATACTCCCGTTGATTGCGACTCCACCAGTAAGTCCGGCGCCGCCACTAACTCCGACACCAGTTTTGATAAC